GGGGGGGGGGGGGCTGCTAGTGTATTATAATTATGCTGAACTTTATGGAAGCTGAGCGTCTTGCGGATTAGAAATTATACTTGCAAAGGATTGAAGCAATGTTGCCGATATTTAATGCAGCTGGACATTTCGCTTATGTAAAAAGTGCACGACTTTATTTACAAGATTTTGCTTAGTTAGAATCTCGAATGGATCCTGATAAATTCGATGAGTTTAGCAAAGACGGTTTCTTCTCAATTCGTTAAATTGATGAAGCTTTCTCGGGTTTAGCTTTAGACTTAGTGATTGAGTAAACATTAAATAGATTTTTCGCGACTGATTTGGTACATAGGCGAGGAGTAACAAGGAGCGTTATAGCTTACTACCTGAACGGCGTGATTGCTGCTGTAAATATCATGGGATGTTTGGAAGAGTATTGCAATTATAAATCGAAGTCGAGCGAGCAGTACGTCGATTCGCAAAGTGGGTGCATAAAAAAAGACAGCAAACATATAAAAAATTATCATTCTGGCTAACCGAGCATGAAACATTCAAAGGCAGGGACAAACTCATATCGCTTTTAACCGGTATTCTGGGAGGGGAAAATATAAATTGTCATATGGCCGTTGAAAGAGGCAGGAAGATAATGCAACTTATGACTGGAAAAAGTGCGGAAACTATTCCACTGTTGACTGTGTACATCGTTAAGCCACTGTCATCTGCCCATGAAATAGATATAAAAAATGAATAAATAAATTGCATCGGCACATGCCTTCTTTCACACGGAACACGGAATACCGTAACGTTTAAACTGTCACCTTATCCATTAAGTATTTTTGATGAGTCTGGCTTAATGAGAAAGTCGACAAAGTCTGAACTGTATAAAATGTTGAAACCTAGTTTACAATCTTCTGAAACGTTGCCGAATTGTCAGTACGTTGTACATGGGAGATGGCTGCTTTATTACGTAGTGTGGCTGCATTTTAACAGATTTTTGACCTGTATTACACTTTTCTACAACGCCAGTTTAAAGAAAACTGCGAAGTAGTGCTCGAGGGATACAACAGCGAAATTATCGGAGTAAAGTAGTACGAACAATACCGAAGAAAAGAAAAATCTGTCGGTGCAGATGTCGATATTAATCCGGAAAACTTGGTGCCAGTGAACTAATCAAATTTTTTGTAAAATGTTGTCAATAAATTTAATTTTGTTCAATTGCTGTCAATCTGTTTAAATAATTTAAATATTCAAACTTTCATTGCTACAGAGGATGCAGATGCACTTATTGTCACATCAGCAATACAGTTAACAAAGCAAGTATCAAATCCCATAGTATTTATAGGAGACGACGTTGACTTGCTTATAATTGCTATTGGACTTTCTCAAGGCATTAATAATTTACATTTTTATAAAATTACTCAAGGAAAGACGGCTAATGTCATGTACGATATATATTCAAATAAAGATATGCAGTAGTATAATATATAATGTTTGTTCATGCGTTTGGTGAGCGTGACTCTACAAATTCTTTATTGAAAATTGGAAAAAAAAAATTGCTTTCTCTGTTCACTACAAATTCTGAGCTAAAGGCCGTTGCAGCACTATTCAGTGATAAACATAGATAAATCCAAGAGCTTTACAAATCTGCAGAGATCTTNCTCTGTGTTCACTACAAATCCTGAACTAAAGGCCGTTGCAGCACCATTCAGTGAAAAAGATAAAGAAATCCAAGAGCTTTACAAATCTGCAGAGATCTTTGCTTTACGCATGTACGAAAGCAATAGCTCGCAAGCAGCAAGTGACATCAATGACTTGCGCTACAAGCTATATATGACATCAATAGCAAAATCAAGAAAGAAAGATTTTCTATCTTCATTACCGCCAACAAATTAAGCATTACTGGAGCATATAAAAGGATGCTATTATTAATTCTAGCAGTGGCTTGGTAATATGTTGAACCCAGAAGAGTGGAGTTGGAAGAGGACTAATTTTATGTTGACTCCAACATTCATAGAAAAACAAGCTGCACCTGACGATCTACTATATTTGGTAATTTTTTTGTCTGCAATATATTTTTGTTTTCCTTTTTTGGAAATATTTTCAAAGGATATTATCGGATAAGAAGTGTTTTGAAAACGTGATACACTAGATTTACACATTTTTTTAAAAAGTAAATATAGTAGTTGTTTATTTTGTGTAAATTACTTTGTTGAATTTTATACAATTTCATTTAACAATAAAACTTTATATTACGTTTTTTTCTGAAGATAAAGCTTGTTTTTGCAGGCAATTTGCGAAAAATGTGTACACACTCGTATACAACCATGAATATACACATTGCACATCTCAGTTTAACATCGATGAATTGTACATAATATATATATTTTTTTTTTTTGGATTTTACGTATCCTGTAACTGTCAAAAAAATTTTAGTACAAGGCGTTGTACACGCAAAAAGGTTGGCCTTCCGTGTACTCTATTATGCAAGCACTGTTATGGCCACAGCTGTGACAGTACTCAGGAGAAGCAGAAAGAGTTCATAGACACAATATTTGAAGACATTGAGGACACGATTAATGACATAGTCAATGAAGAGGAAAGTGCAGAAGTGGACGTAAATTGCGACGTTATAGAAGTCGAAAACGAGTAGTGACCGTGTTTTTGAAGTATACACTCTTTCAGAATACGAGCCAATTTCTTCAACGTTATTGCAAAATTATTTCCTCCAGACTTTTTAAAAAACTCAAAATAAAATTATTTTTTTAAACAAAAAATATCCAACAGTATTAAAAGAAAGCGAAGTCTCTAGTCTATTTTTTCATTTATGTCAATATATAATCTGCATCTAATAAAATGGATTAGATAATTATTTTTTTTATTAATTTATACAAGTATGTTATTAATAATTGTTTGTTAATAATGAAATCAGTACACTCTACTTATTAAAAACCTATTTCCTGATTTCAAAAAATTTATGCATGATTACGAGAAGGTATAATATTACTAATGGTATAAATACTCCTGGTGTTACCCAAAAAGTGTATGCTGTGCCACAAACAAATTCATTTTTTTTAGACATTAGTTGTACAACTTAAGAAGACTCTTAGTTCATTTAAAAGGGTACAATTTATCATAATTATATTAAGAATTCTAAGATTCATAAGTAATTTTTCATTCAAAAACTCTAAAAATAACTGATTTTATTTGTGTTAGAAANGTATGCGGCAGTAGTTGCATCTTTTTCCGATAAGAACGCTACCAAAGATGAAGGATTTTTTCATGTTACAGTCGAGGTTACAATATAAGTACATGGTAGAGGGAAAGATCAGTCTTAAACTTACGGAAAAAAGAATGAAGGAATAAATATAGGTTTTATATATATGTTAGAGTGCTCTACGTCCGGCTCCTTTGATAAGGGCACTACTATGGGCACTTAGCACTTGGGAGAAGGACAAAGAAAGGGATTGGAGGCCTCCCGTTACTGGGAGGGGGGTAGGGGAAATTAGGCAGTTTTTGCTGCAAGAAGGTCGTCTAAAAACCCTCCTCGAGGAGCATTGCGTGGTGAAAAAGCACATGTGAAAAATCACAGAGGTATTTGCCCGAAAAGTCACACTGGTCAAGAATCGAACCACGATCTCCCGCGTGCCAATCCACAACCTAGCTGACTAAGCCACCGCGCGCTCTAAACTATATATGTCATAAAAAAAAAAAAAAATTTATTTAAAACTTTATCCCGGTATAAAACCTTATGTTTCCACTCTGAGTCAGTACCTGCATAAAGCGCTGAAATAAAAAACCTACGTCTCAGGGTACAGTTTGGATAAAACTTTTTTGGTTTAGTATGTGTATCTTTAGTATGTGAATCTATACAGTGAGATCATAATTGAAAATTTGTCTGTAACTTATCATTAGTAAAAGACAAAAAAAAATAGGAAACTTTCTTTGAATGAAGCTTAATTCTTGATAACTTTTTGGAATTACGATTATTGGGAGACCTTTTGAACTTATAATTTGACACATGCCTCATTGATGCTAAGATAATTTTTACAGGATAAGGATAAGCCAAATAGTACGACAATGAATGGTTCAACAGGTGTCATTTGTACGGCTGATATTAGCTACGTCAAGATGGAGCACCCAGATCCTGAACCATTTACGACTGGTATCAAGCACGTCAGCCCCGAGCAGGAGGAACTTATCAACAGGCTTGTCTACTTTCAGGACGAGTACGAACAACCTAATGATGAGGATCTAAAGAGGATCACGGTAATATACACATTTATATGTCAATCTTGTTAACATGACTATTTAAATCTGTAATTAAGACATTTTTCTAATTGATCATATTAAGGTACACACAGTATCTCCTGCACTCGTTTTTTAAACAATTTTAATACATTTCTTTCCATACTTCCCTCAAAGCTACGGCTTTTTCCCCTTGGTCTTAGGAAGCAAAGTGCTGCTTTCCTTCTGGGAAAAAAATCATATTTATTGCATATGGGAAAAATTTTTGCTATTCTTTGCATGTTGGACATCCTTGCCTTCGGCTCAAAAGGCACCTTTCACGCAAAAATGCCACAATACATTCGTAGTGAGCAGTGAATGTGATTTTTACGTGTGAGGTTATGTAGCATTTTCATCCCTGAAATCAATTGAAGAATACGTATTTCCAGAGGAGGAAGGAAGAAAATCATACATGCTTTAGTAAGAAAGTACTGTATCATTTTCTGAGTATTTACTACACATAGAATTCTTATCTAAAAGAGACCACTGTACCTTCTCCCTTTAGTGCGTAATAAACTATTAACAAAGCCGAAAAGTATGGTAAAAAATAGGATAATTATCATTATTTGTTGGATTTATGTTTTGCATTTTTCGTGTGGTAATTTCTTTAAGACATGGAATTATATTTTTTCCTTGCTTGTTTTTATACTTAAAGTTTTTTAATACCTTTAACGTTTTTCTACAAACTAGATTTTTTAGACAGCGTTCCTCTCCTATCTGCTAGGATCTGGGGGCTATAGTGCAGGCGAGTTAAAGGATTTGATCTCATATTTTCAAAAAAGTCCTCAATCAAATTTATTGACGAAATAATTACGAAAAAAAATAGCAAGAATAGCTAAGTATAATATTTGAAAGCGAATTTTTAATTACGTTGATCTTAAATACTTGGTCATTTATAACTGGAAAAATTTTAAAGTACTTTTTTAAATCAAGGATTTTTGAGAAGTAACTGTAAACAAATCGTCAATAACACAAATTTATTAAATGCAGTCACTCGTTTTTCTATTTGATCAAGTGACACGCATAAATTTTGACTTCATTTGCTTTGTAATTTGAAATTTATGTTAACATTTGTTTTGAAAACTAGAGAAATTTAAATAAGTCAATTTATTTAATTTTACAATTTTGTCAATATTTATTACATACATATGTTAGTATGTAATGTATAATCCTTAATTCCGAGCTTATTTCTAACATATTTCGTAATTGTTCCAACTATGATGGCGCAGTCCAATCAAAAATTGAGAGAACTGCTTCACTAAACTCTTGGTACTGCTGCTCACCTAACTATGGCGAGCGAGAGCATCAAGCAGTTTAGGGCGCTGTTCACAGTTAATTAAAAAGACAGCCCATCAAACTTTTTTCTACTGCATGGTCTCTGCTGTGCCTGCCAGACTCAGGTGAATAAGTGCTTAAAAGTGAATAAGGGGCTTCAAATCTTCCGAGCTAGAAAAAATCTTATAATTTGGAAACTACTAGACTAATTTTGATATTTTTTTTTTAAAGTGAGGTACCGTGCAAAAATAGTTTGCAAAAGTAATGCAACTGTTTTTGATTTTTTAACTTTATATATACCAAGAAAACCTTACACGTTTATTTATTAATATATTCTCTGGTATTATCGAACACCTTCTGACATCAAATCGGTAACTGATGGATCATTCTACCAAAAAATTTTAGGCTTTTCAACGCGAAGAAATTATCAACCCTATTTGCACTTTTTCAAATTTTTAAAAGTGTACACCTTGAAGCGCATTATTCATACATCTGAAAAGATAATAACTAGTTGGCACAAGGTCTGAAGAGTATGCCCGATGCCGTAGACCTTTCAGCCAAGAGATGTTAAAGTTTAACGGACAGGTTTTGCAATGTGTGGTCTGATGTTACCGTGCAACAATTTCACTGGACGTAGTCCGTGGCCAGTAAATGGACGTTTTTCGTCCAATATTTTACTCAAACAGTTTGTTGTTGATAATAACGTTCTATTGTAATGATCTGCTTCAGTTCTAGCAGCTCATAGTACGAAATTCCCTTCAACTCCAACCAAAGATAATGCATCACTTTATCTGTAGAAATTTTGCCCTTTGAAATTAAGTGGTGTGAAATTTATTCCCCTACTTTTGAAATTTCCCATCACTTTAAAATGTCTGGCAATTCTTGTTTGGTCAATTCCAAGCAATTCTGCCAACTCTCATTGAGTCTTACATGGATTCTCGACAAGCAAAGCTTGCAAATCATTTCCTCAACACTTTTCTGGATGAGTGCCAGCGAGTGTGCGGAAACATGCGTTTGTCAGTCACATAACCTCTCGCACGTATGGTGTATACAACTTTTCGATACAGCTTGCGTGGGGAACGAAATTATGAGCAATTTAATATAGCTCTGCAAAGAGTTTGACGTGCACATGCACTCGCACGAGTACGCAGCATGAGCTGTGAGTAGCGTGTGTAAATCGAGGTCTTTAGAGCCGCAACAGATGGCTCATAATCGAGTCCCAGCGTACGGCGTATCAAAAAGTCTTTTTTCGCCTTTTTTCCTTGATGATATTCATAAAGAAGATAATGGCAAAATTTTTTCTTATTTTATGACATTGTTAACCTTGTTCTCATAAGAGAACGCAAAAAAATAAAAAGCTTAAATAACTTTTCAAGGTACCGAAAATAATTGCTCTATTGTTACCCACCCCCAATACTAACAACTAGCATATTCCCTAAGAGAATAAATACGGGAATAAGTTTTTATCAGAGCTAAGTATTACAAATACCAACAAATTTTAAGTACCTAAAAAAGTTTCAAGGGCCATTAGAAGCCATATAATATAGAGTCCAAAAATTCCGATATTTTGCGGTTTTTATTTTATTTTTTGTAGAAAAGTTTTGGATCAATTTGGACGCAAAAATACTTATTTGCTCCATCTTTTAAAGCTATTTTATATTTTTTTTTTTTCTGGCTAGAATTTGTGTTTCTCATTACAAATCACCAAAAACCTGTCATTTGAGTATTTTTTACGTTCATTCACGTAAAAATTCGCTTTCAAACAATAAATAAGCTATTTCTATTATTTTTCTTGTAAGTGTCTCGTCAAAGAAATTTTTAAACAAATAAACTAACTTGCCTGCACTGTTAAAGTGGTCACCCAAGTAGCGATCATCCTGAGGGCCCTACGTACAAGTGACAAAATATTTTATTTTTTGCTTATGAGTTATAATAATTGTTTCAACATAATATCAAACAATGTTCATTTGCAGTTTGCTCTTGTTTAAAAAATTTTTGAAGTATTATTTTCCTCCTGAACGTAATATATTTACCAAAACTTAGTATTCAAGTAAAAAACCGCATCCAATTTATTGGCTTATAGCTACTTTTTTTTTCTCATTTTTTATTTGAATGTGTAAAAATGTGTACTCCAAAAAACTTGTTTCTTTAACTCTCTGAGAATTTAACCTAATCAATAACCGCATAAAAAACAAGAGTGATAGAAATTTCGAAATATTTGTAGTATTGCATCAAATAAAATATAACAAAATTAATAAAATAACCCAAGCGCCAATTACCTCACAACCAGGGGTGCATACTGGTTACTTTGTTAATTAATAAAATAAATAAAATAACACAAGCGCCAATCACCAGGCAACTCGGGCGCTTATTGGTCGCTTCGTTAAATAAAAAAATAAATAAAATAACACAATCGCCAATCGCAATACAACTTGGGGCGCCTACTGGTCGCTTTGTTAATTAATAAAATAAATAAAATAATACTAGCGCCAATCACTGAGCAACTGGGGGTGCTGAATGGTCGCTTTGTTAAATAAAAAAATATATAAAACAACACAAGCGCCAATCACTAGACAACCTGGGGCGCTTCTGGTTGCTTTGTTAATTAACAAAATAAATAAAATAACACAAGCACCAATCCAGTAGAAACCCGGATTGCTTACTAATCGCTTTGTTAATTATTAAAATGAATAAAATAACACAAGCGCCAATTACTACACAACCCGAGGCGTTTACTGATCACTTTGTTAATTAATAAAAGAAATGAAACAACACACGCGCAAATTACCACACAACCCAGGGTGCTTACTGGTTGCGTTGTTAATTAATATAATAAATAAAATTACACAAGCGCTAATCACTAGGGTACCCGGGGTGCTTACTGGTCACTTTGTTGATTATTACAATAATAAAAATAATACAAGTACATATCACCACACAACCCGGGGTGCTTACAAGTCGCTTTCAAAATCAGTTGATCCATAAATAACAGCTGAAGCAATTGTGGTTACATGGTAAATAGTGGTTGCAATATTAGATAATGCTTTCTTAATTACTAAATTAGCAGGTTATCTCCTCGGATGCCTGGTGATTAGCGTTTATGTTATTTTTCAATGCTTCATTGATTAATGAAGCGATTAGTAAGGACCTCAGGTTTCCTGGTGATGGGCGCTTGCGTTGTTTTATTTATTTTTTTATTTAACGAAGTGATTAGTAAGCCCCGGGTTGTGCAGTAATTGGCGCTTGTGTTATTTTCTTTATTTTATTAACTAACAAAGCAACCAGTTATCGCCCCAGATTTTGTGGTGGTGCGCTTGTGTTATTTTATTTATTTCAAGGCAAGCAGTAAGTGCCCTAGGTTATGTGGTGATTGGCGCTTTTGTTATTATTTAAAGATTTTTTAAATTTTAAAGTGGCCAGTAGGTGCTCCGGGTTACTGGATTAAATAGCATTGGGTTGTCCGGTTCGATTGCTTGGGGTTTATTTATTTATTTATTGTGTATGAATTTCTATTAAGGTATCCGGTTTTTTGTGTCTTGTTCTTTATAGACAATTTAAATTTCACTCTACTTTGGATGCCATTTTTGGGAGCACTAAGTAGGAGAGCGCCCTTCTCTTAACTTTAACTTGAGCCACACCAACGAATATATACGCTCATAGAAGCACACCTAACATAGAACTGCTGGCGAAAAAATAATCTGATTAAA